GGGCTCCAGAGTCGTTCTCAGTGAATTTTGCTTCCTTAATGCGGAAATGCGGGGGGGGGGGCAAACAGAGATGGGATAGGATCAGAAAGAGAGCAAAATGGAACAAAGTGGCGTAATACTTTAAAAGCAACTAAATCAGAAGCATTTCAACCAGGGCTCTTCACTATAATAACACAGAGGAGAGGGAGAGAAGAAATGAGCGGATGCACAAAGTCAGGTTTTTACTGCAGCAAAACGGCACTGTTCTCTCCAATTCCCTCCTCCCCCTCCTGCTCGGTGACGCTGGGCTACAGTGCTGTACTGCTGTGTGTGCATAATGAGCACCTTTCTATCTCTCTCTGTCTCTCTTTCTCTCGCTCCTGTTCCCCTCATGCAATGAAGCTGCAGAGAAGCTCTTGACTTATTAGACGCTTCATTTAAAGAGATAGAGAGACAGAGGGAAAGAGAGACGGATAGAATTTTAATCAGTCGCAATAGTCTCTCGCCCTCAGTTGCATCTTGCAGTGGCATTGCTTCGGCCCAAGATGTGGCCCAAAGGACATTTGAAAGCAATACACCTGATTGAGAGATTGACAGATAGTATCTGTATTCGACATGCATGGGCTGTTGATGCTGTTACATTTCATTTTATATTAAATGCATCTTAATTTTAATGCATTGACTTTCAAAACGTTAAAATGCTGTTTTGTGATCTTTGATGTGTTGATTCTTTGATTGCCAGTTATATAATGCTCACTTGCATTCTATTCTATTCTATGGTCTAGTTGCTCTACTTATTGTTTTTCTCTTATATTATTTGCTTCTGCTTGCATTATTATCATTAGATAAAAGCATCGCCTAGATGAATAAATGTAAATCTCATTGTTGATAACTTGTGTTAAGGGACTATTGATCTTATGATCCTATTGTTTATTGTATCCTCTGTGTTCAAAATGATTTCAAAACCCTTCTTAATGCACAAAACAGTTCCATAACAGTGATTTGTGATATGCTTTGATCATTTTAGAGATGAGTTGACATGAAATACGTCTAAAACTATTTTAAACAGCCTTATTTTATATGAGTATTATGCATATGCAGCTTGTATATCCTCGTATTAATTCAGGGACTGCATGAAATAGTAATATTTGAAGGGAAAAGGTGAAAGAGAGACGGATAGAATTTTAATCAGTCGCAATAGTCTCTCGCCCTCAGTTGCATCTTGCAGTGGCATTGCTTCGGCCCAAGATGTGGCCCAAAGGACATTTGAAAGCAATACACCTGATTGAGAGATTGACAGATAGTATCTGTATTCGACATGCATGGGCTGTTGATGCTGTTACATTTCATTTTATATTAAATGCATCTTAATTTTAATGCATTGACTTTCAAAACGTTAAAATGCTGTTTTGTGATCTTTGATGTGTTGATTCTTTGATTGCCAGTTATATAATGCTCACTTGCATTCTATTCTATTCTATGGTCTAGTTGCTCTACTTATTGTTTTTCTCTTATATTATTTGCTTCTGCTTGCATTATTATCATTAGATAAAAGCATCGCCTAGATGAATAAATGTAAATCTCATTGTTGATAACTTGTGTTAAGGGACTATTGATCTTATGATCCTATTGTTTATTGTATCCTCTGTGTTCAAAATGATTTCAAAACCCTTCTTAATGCACAAAACAGTTCCATAACAGTGATTTGTGATATGCTTTGATCATTTTAGAGATGAGTTGACATGAAATACGTCTAAAACTATTTTAAACAGCCTTATTTTATATGAGTATTATGCATATGCAGCTTGTATATCCTCGTATTAATTCAGGGACTGCATGAAATAGTAATATTTGAAGGGAAAAGGTGATTAAATAGAGGACTGTTATACTGTACATGACCTTCACTTTTAAAAATTAAGCTTTTTACTGCTTTTTTACTTCATCCAAGATTCTTGTGAAAGAAGGGCTCTTTAGACTATTAAAATGTTCTTCGCATTCTTTTAAGAACTGTTCACTGAAAGGTTCTTTAGGGCAACCTTAAATGGTTCTTCTCTAGCATCACTGCAAAAACCTCTTTTTGGAAGATTTATCTTTAAGAGTGTATGACATACATGCATTGAAATTCTTGATGATTTCCTGATGTCATAAAGGTCAGCGCACACGTCATGCCTCAATCATGAGGCGACTTTCGCCAAAAACACACAAGGTCACATGGCAGCCTTCATGCACTGCAGTATTTTTGGCATATCAATAGCGGGACCCCCGTATGATGCGCAACATCCCCTCCATTTTTACCTTTACTAAACATCTCCCCTCTTTCTCTCCCCCCTCCCTCCTGTCCCCCCGCAGACCGCTCCTCTCTCCTCCCCTCTCCGTTTTTCTCCTCCTCTCCCTCCCCTATGCTCAGTTCGGTGTGTGTCTCCTCATTCAAAGGGCGCAAGGGTGGGAACAAGTCGTCCAACAAAGCATGTTACAGCGCCGACATGACTTGCCCGTCGGAAAGCGAGAAAATCGTCATCAACTGCGGCGGCGTGAGGCACGAGACGTACCGGAGCACCCTGAAGACGCTGCCCGGGACGCGTCTGTCGTGGCTCACTGAGCCGGACGCCTTCAGCAACTTCGACTACGACCCGAAGTCCGACGAGTTCTTCTTCGACCGGCACCCGTCCGTCTTCTCGTTCATCCTCAACTACTACCGGACGGGCAAGTTGCACTGCCCCAACGACGTGTGCGGCCCGCTGTTCGAGGAGGAGCTCGCCTTCTGGGGCATCGACGAGACCGACGTGGAGGCGTGCTGTTGGATGAACTACCGACAGCACCGGGACGCGGAGGAGGCGCTGGACAGCTTCGAGACGCCCGAGCCGGAGGTGCCGGAGGACGACCCGGCGCTCGCGGGGGACGGAGACCTGAAGCGGCTCTGCCTGCAGGAGGACGGCAGGAAAGTGGGCTGGTGGCGCGTGTGGCGACCGCGGATTTGGGCGCTCTTCGAGGATCCCTACTCGTCCAAATACGCGCGGGTGAGTTTTCAGCACCTCTTTACGCGTGGACAGCTCCTCGGTCTAGCGCTCCGGTAACTTACTTTAGCCGGTGACGGTGGGCTGAAATGTTGTTGAACCCCTGATTTGAGACCCCTATTCTTCAAAGCACTGTATGCATGGACTAGTTTGGCTGGTAACAGAAAGGTTTTAGGTTCAAACCCCAGATGCCCTTGAGTTTGAGCGTCCTGATTTAGAAAATCTAGGCACTTTTTCGAATGGACAAATCCATAGCATTAGTATACTTCTGTTAACGCACTGAACTAACAGGCTAGCATGGAACGTTCTCATCAAGGTTCTCTCAAGTTACGAACGTTCGTTCGAAGTTTACTGGTCTTTAGTAACAAAAAAATGTATAGCTACATCACTCAAGGGACGTTTTTTTTTCTATGAAAAGTATTTGGATATTCATCTAATGTTTTTTTTAAACGTTACTACTTACGACTGGTTTCAAAACATTCGAAGAATATTCAAAAGTAACATTCCTGTATTGTTTGCAAAATTCTCAAATGGATTGTTAATGTTCGCATAAAAAAGGAAAAAACATAAAAAAAAATTAAATATTCAGATAGTTTTCATAACTTAATGTAAACGGTATCAAGACAGAACATACTTTTGTTATCTAGGTTAACATAAGGTGAAGTAGCCTCGTAGTAAAATATTTGAGTTGGAATCTGAAAGGTTTTGGGTTTAAATCCCAGATTGTGCCCTTGATTTGTGCCCCACTGATTTAAAAAAACCTAGACACTTTTTCCAAATTGACAAATCCATAGTATATACTTGTGTTAACCCACTGAACTGACTTGCTTAGTTTCCCAGCTACCAGGGAACGTTCTTTTGACGTTCTGGTAAGGTTCTTTCAAAGTTATGAACAAACATTCTTTCAGTAACGTTAACAGAACGTTCATTCAAAGTTATCTGGTTTTTAATGACATTCCCAAAACATTAGCACAAAAAATGTATGCATCATTCAAGAAACATTTTTTTTTTAATGTTTTAAAAAAAACAATTTTTAAACGCGTTTCAAAACGTTCAGAGAACATTCAAAAGTAACATTCTCATAATGTTTGCATAATGATAAAATGTAACATTCCCTTAATGTTTCTGCTAACATTCGCTTAAGAAATAACTTTTTAAAAAACATTAAAAAGGAAAATTTTAAATGTTCAAAGAACATTCATAAATAATGTTTTGTTTGGAAAGGTTGAAACTGAAAGATTATAGTTGCAAACGCCACAAACATTGATCAAATATCATTTTGTCCTTGAATAAGACATCTATCCTCAGGTAATTAGTGTACTGTAAGTAACTTTGGATGAAGGCATCAACTAATTAGTAAATCTGAGCACTCTTATTCCTTCACAAGTGGTGCTGAAAACTTAGCCGATTGTATTTAAAGCACAGCTCCTTGGTTTGTACCTCAATTAACTCAACTTGCTGCTAGTTAGTGGGATGCATGATAAAAGTTAGTTGGTTGAAACTTAAGAAGGGTTGTTCTGTTGTGCATTTAAGATTGTTTTTATTCTCTGTTCCTCAGAATATGCATTAGTGTACTGTAAGTAACTTTGGATGAAGGCATCAACTAATTAGTAAATCTGAGCACTCTTATTCCTTCACAAGTGGTGCTGAAAACTTAGCCGATTGTATTTAAAGCACAGCTCCTTGGTTTGTACCTCAGTTAACTCAACTTGCTGCTAGTTAGTGGGATGCATGATAAAAGTTAGTTGGTTGAAACTTAAGAAGGGTTGTTCTATTGTGCATTTAAGATTGTTTTTATGCTCTGTTCCTCAGAATATGCATTGGTGAGTGTGAGTAACGTCATAGTTTAACCTACTGTATACAGCCTAGTGGTTAATATCTGGGTTGGTAATTGAAAGTTTGTAGGCTCAAACGCCATGAGCGTTCAACCATCATTGTGCCCTTGAGCAAAGATGTGTCATTTAATAGATGTACAGTAAGTGGCTTTGGATAGAAGCGTCAGATGACTGACTAACGAGTAAGTAACTGTGTTTGGGAGTAGATGAAGATCTGTGCTAATAATTGAAAAGTTGTGAGATTGTGACCTGTCCTCGATCAAGACATTTAACCTGAGGTTGCTGGTCACTTTAGATGAGTAATTAGTGCAGTAACGTGTGTTTGCAGTAGTTGACCCAGTTCAAGCTGGTTAAATGAGCTTTGAAGGATGCAGTTATCAGCCTGTCAAAATGAAATCAGCACTGCCAGTGGATATTCCCCCAGAATCACACAGTGCACCACCATCAAACAAACACCAGCCTCATATTTATGCGTGTAATTGCATGTTATCATGCGCCATTACGCACGAGCTCCCTCTTAGATCCATATGCATGCTCTTTGTTTCAGCTGTTTTAAAGTGTTGCACCTGACAGTAGCAGCCACAAAACTGTTACTGCATTTATAGCCCATAAACCCGCTGCTCTTATGAATGTTTTATGCTTCCGATGCCCGACGCAGCAAACACATACGCTTGTTTCTTAATAGCATCCTTGGTAATTTTCATTTAAATGCAGGCTTGTGGTTTTTTTTTTAGCTAATAATGGATGCTTACGTTCAGTCTGATGCAATTATAAGCACTGATATGGGAGCTGCTGCAGAGACAGGGTGCGTTTGATTGATATTGCACAAATATGATAGACTATCACTCATATTTTTGCCCCGAGACATGGTCAAATATTTGAAAACAAATGCCCTGGTGTGTTCATACACTGTGTGGACGCATCAGATTCTGCTGAGGAAGTGACTTGAGGTTGTTTTACAAAAAATCTTTTTTGTATATATAGAAAGTCTATGTCCATTTATCCACGTTGACTCACAAGTTGGTTTATCAGCATATTTGCTGATTATTGCATGCTGTTGATTGTCTTTCATGCATTTTAGATGAAATTGAGATGCATGGCTGTCTAATTTAACATGTTATGTCATAGAGGAGCTCTCATCTTCCTATATGAAACCAGATATAATGACCTTACTGTGGAAATTTTTAGGAAAGAGCTTTAAAGCATTGTCTGCGTATACATAGATGAGACACATGCACAATGGCTGTCTGCTGTGTGTTTGTGCACTTGCAGATGGATCTATACGTGGCTTATACCTGGGGAATGCATCTCTATTGTCCAAATGTCACTGGCAGGTCAATATTTGCCACAGTTCATTCACCGTGTTGTCAGCCAGGGTTTACTGTATAGTTGATGCTGTGTGCATGCAAGCATTAACATGCATGTAGTCACATATAGTAAACACAATCAATTAGTGGTCAAACAGTGAGGGTTTTTTGCTGAGAGAGCAGGGTGACTGACTGATGGAGATATACTGTGTGGAATGCAGTTGAATTATAAGATGCTCAATTTAAATGACTTATATTGGACTTTATTCATAAAAATAAGGACAATACGTTTCTGAGTACTTTTTCTTTTTTTCAATAAATTCATACAAGGATGCATTAAATTGATCAAAAATGACAGAAAATACATTTCTGATGTTACAAAAACATATTTTTCAAATAAGTGCTGTTCTTTTTAATGTTCTATTCATCAAAGAATCCTGAAAATCAAACAAAAAGGTTATCTCCTTTATGTTAACCATCATACAGTTTGGGGAAATCACAGTTCCAATCACAGTGTATCATCTCATCTTGTTGCCAATCTGCATGATCAGCATTTGGTTAAAGAGCAGGTCATATGGAATTTTAAAGTGTCCTAATATTGTGTTGGAGTCCTCTACAACAAGTTTATATGCATCTAAGGTCAGAAAACATTGTAATTTTTTCAGAATATACATTTAATATTAGAGTCATTTGCCAATGATTTCTAAACGGTTCGTTCCAAGCAAGTTCAGAGCAAACCCCTCCCTTCCAAAAGCCTACTCTGCTCTGATTGGTCAGCTGGCTAAGCCTGCTGTGATTGGCACAGAGAGGAGTCCTTGAGCAAACAACAAAAGGCTGGAATTGTATTTCTGTGGTATCCTTGAACACAGCGTCTTCTCAACATGATGTAAACACACTAACTAGCAGAAGTGTTTGTGGGCAGGTCAGACTCGCGGGCAGGCGGGGATTATGCAAATGTGTTACCCAGTGATGTATACCGGTAACAGGCAAAAGATTTGAAAATATGACGACTCGTTAAGGCGATTTAGAATCGACTCTCTCTTTTGAGAGACAATATCTATATTTATCATGCACTTTTTTGATTAACAACTTTGCAGATTATTTTCGTTTAAGGATAGCTACGTTATAAACTGCAAAAGAGATATTTTTCAAAAACCCATATGACCTGCTCTTTAACTGTCCACTGAATTTCAGTGCAACAATTTATGTTACAGTTCATGTTTTATGACTATTTTACTAAATGTATTTATATAATTCATATATTCAAATTTTTTAAATTTATTTTTGAAATTTTCCTTATTAAACATTTAATTTTATTGACACAAACAATTTTACTCTTAATGGGCCATGTTTTCAAAAACAATGATAATTAATTCAGAAATTCAGACAAATTGTTCCATTGAATTGAATGCAACAATTCACTTGATATTTACTCAAAATTCAGAAAACAATCTTAGCGCTAAAATATCCGCTAAATTATTTCAGTTTAGTGACAGTAAATAAGATACTGAATTTAAATAAACACTATTTTACACTTTTTCAACCTTATTCATAAAAAGAAGAACACATTACACAAATCAAAATCACTGATAAATCCATTCCTGCTTAAATGAGGCTGTTTTAATTTAATTAAATGCACCAATTTACATAACGATTTTGCCTGTGATGTACACAGAAATTTATTCTGCTTGTGTTTCACGAGTAACTCTTATTTATTTGACTGTATTTATGCAAAATTCTCTAAAAAAAAAATATATGTAAACATAAACATAATGCTCCGCCAAGTGCAAACACGGTTTCTCAGAAAGCATTTCAGCAGTGTTACTGTGCTGTGTTTCTCTCCGGTCATGCATTAGCAAAT